AAAAAAAAAAAAAAAATTGGATTCAAATAATCCTCCACTCTTTTCTGGATTTGTGATTTTTGATTGGGGCTTTATATAGAAAAAGATAAACTATGTCTTTCTTTATAGGTTGGTGCTGTTGTCATTGATTGGTTAGCATAAAATTTATTTCACTGGTAATAGTTAATGTGGATGGACTGCACATGGAGGTAAAGTGATGCCCTTTTAGATTCTGAAGGACCAATTGGGGACTACATTTATTTATGTCACTCACAATCTATGCTTGGGGGAATGCAATATTTGGACAAACTCTTTTATTTGCAATTCTTCAGTGCTAGATTTCTGATTTGATGGCTGTTATAGTGTTATGATATACTCCCTCCTTTTTTAAATAAATGTCGTTTTGACTTTTTTGATTCATCTATTTTGCTATGTATCTAGACATTAATATGTCTAGATACATAGCAAAATGGATGAATCAAACAAGTCAAAACGACATTTATTTAAAAAAAGAGGTAGTATGTTTTTGAATCTTAAAATGTTGGGAACAATCATTAAGTTTGAAGCTTGATGGGATATATTATTCTCCATGCCAAAATTGCTTTGCTTAACTTTGAAGTTTATAGTTTAATAATCCTAAAAATTAACACTAGTAATTACTTTCTTTCAAAAAAATCCAATTTTTTATTTTTTTTTATTTATTTTAGCACATTGCAAAATATAGTTTGAGATTTGGATTCATTATATAAAATCCATCCACAGACACCTCCCAATATGTGCACTTATGTATTCAAAAGTTCATAGTTTCAAATTCAAGAATTCACTAAATTACAAAAAAATGGTACTTCATCCTATTTATAATAAATGTCGTTTTGAAAAGTTAAACAGTTATTAAAAATATTTTTTTTGTCAATAATAACTTTTATTAATGAGGATAGAGATAAATGTTTTGAGAAAAGATGAACAGTGAATATGAAAAGAGCGTTAGTGTATTTATTAGCTAGATTTGAGGGTAATAATGAAAAAATATGTACAAAATATCCAAAACGACATGTATTTTGTTAATAGTTGATAATGTCAAAATGATATTTAAAACGAATATGAGGTAGTATTAGTGATGTAGCGAAAGCGTGAACGAATGGGAAAAGATACAATACGAGTAAACGAGATACTCTCTCGTAAAACACGCAAAACTTTCAATATCTTATTTCATA